TGGCGACAACCTCAATCTTGCTACATGCCACTGTTTGTGGTAAGTTTAACCCAAATCTCAGCAATTGCTTTAGCAGAAAATGAGCCATAGCAAAAGTTTGGCCTTTCATTTGCTGCAGCTATGAATTTGCTATTATCATCTTGAAGAATTGCACCAATCGCACCATTCAGATTGTCATGATCAAACCCAACATCTACATTTAGTTTCATGTATCCCGGCCGGGGCCTAGACCAAGCCATCGCTCTCCTCTTCGCCTTGGGCTTACACGCGATAACAAAGTTCGCTGCTAGTCCCCGTGTTGCCAGTTGAACTTGGGCTGCAGTTTGTGTTTTCTCATCATTTCATGTGTTAGTTTCCTTCGTTTGAACCACAAATACTAGGCAGTTTTTTTTAGGGGTAAACCATGTTTTACTGATAAAAAATCACAGATAGTGGAATACATCTCAAATTGTGGGGTTGGCCTAGCCACACATGGCGCCCCTGACCTAAAGAATGCGAAAACTTGGCTAGACTATGAGCTTCTCCATTAGACTCTTCAGGTTTGAACAAAAAAACACAATTAAACATAGTAGCTCTCTGATGAATCTCACATATGATAGTACCATATTTCCCTTGATAGTCATTGTGGATTATAGGTGGCCAAACGGGCCAGGCTAAACGGGCTAGCATGCGAGCACGCTGGCACGGCCCGCCATGGACCAGGCACGACACGGGCTAAACGTGCCGTGCCCGGCACGCGGCACGCCTTGGGCCATGCCTGGGCCTGGAGACTGGGCACGCGGGCCAGCACGGCACGGTTCGTTTATTTTTTATATAATTTTCAGATTTTTTTTATATATGTATACCTAAAATATAGCCCAATAGGCCTAAAAATCAGCCCAACAGGCTGAAAATATATGGCCCAACGCGCTAAACGGGCCAACGTGCCAGCCCGTTTACTAACTGGGCCGTGCCTGGGCTTAGAGGCACGACACGGCACGACCCGTATAGTAATTGTGCCCTGGCAGGCCGTGCCGGGCTGGCCCGTTTGGCCAGGTCTGTTGTGGATGTCTCCAACAACTTGCTTGGAGTCTGAAGCCACCACAAAATTATGTAACAGAAGGTCTTGTATCAACGATAGTGCTTCTGTGCACGTGATTGCCTCAAGTGTTGTTGGGTCGTGTATACCGTGGATAACCAGGGCCGAGCTCTCCAAAAAATTTCCTTGTTCATCTCGACAGACCGCCGCTGCAGTCCAGCCTCTGGATGGCATTGATACCCCTCAGATTAGGCAGTTGTTGCTATCGTCTCCCTCATATTAGGCAGCCCAAGTACATGGATGTCCGAGCCCTGAAGACACAAATGGTGCTCAAGCACTTTCGACCATATGCACCTGGTATGAAAAAGTAACTTAGTAATTGCAAAAGAAGTCATTTAGCGAGCCAACATGTGTAACTGTGAGCCCCAGGGTTTGCACTAGCTGCTTCCCGTGATTTACTTTGTTTTTAAGCAACCATATATTTCATTAGACAAACTGTTTACAGAGATTACACATATGGTCACCATACAAGACACAAATGCTTGTTAAGCAACTTTACACACATAATTCCACAAGATGTGAAACTACTATTCCACCCTTGCAGAAACTCATGCCTCGCCGAAATATAGTCCACAAACATCCTCCGCCGTCACCATGGCAACACCGGAAAAAGATGAGAACAACCGCCATACCAAGATCTAGGAGAGCACCATCACATACAAATATGCTTTTTGAGCCGTTGAAGCGGGTCGCCGCAAGCAAAGAGACCGAGTCTTTGTGACACGTAGGCCGGGGATCTTCCCCGTGGTCACCAGATCTCGACACCGTCAACTTCATCCGATGTAGTCGAAGAAGAGGAACGTCGCGCCTAACATCATCCACACACCCCAACTACAAGACAGTAAACACAACTACAGCCGCCAACACAACCATCACCCACGAGAGCGCCATCGGCCGATTACCAGACGCGTGATTTACTTTGTTGGGTCTATTGTCAGATGCACTTGGTGCCAGTTTTTCTTTTTAGAAATTTTTTTATTCATATCACGAATCAGTACAACGAAGTTGACCCTTACAAGCACATTGAAACGCAAACACAAAGGACCATGAACATCTAGAGTATCCTAAAACAACCATAACACAAGAAGATCTTCGGAGCCCTGGGTCATCATCTCTGAATCTTGAGAGAAGACCCCTGCAGCAGAAGGATCTGCAACCAGTCGCAAGCAGGTCATCATCTTCGACCACGGTACAATTGCCACCACGCTGCTTCCTCCTTTCTTGACACCAGCGCTGTGAGGACATGGACATCAATCCAACACACCTGCAACAGCCGTCGCCATCTTTGGCTTTGAGTACCGCGAAAAGTGTCCCTTCCGGAAGGAAGAGAACTCGAGTCATCCGACCGGTCCAGCACCGCGGCCGGGCCATCCGCCCGGACAAAGCAGGATCTCCCACCAGCATCAGCGCAGAGGAAGGAGAAGAACAGCAGCAGCAAATCATACCAACAAGGAAGAAGAAGGGTCTTTGTCTCCCTACATCCATCGCCCATCTGAGGACCCAAACGGCCAGTGCCGATGGACCTCCAGCCACCATAGCCCGCGACCTCGACGAGATCCGGGGATCCCCAACCCCGCTGGCTCCTAGACGAAGGCAAAAGCCTCGCCTGACCGCGAACGGAGCCCGGAGAAACTTATTCCGACGCGACACCACCGCAACGATCTCGGCAGCGTCTCCCTCAACCCTAACCCTACCACACACCCACCTAACGAACAGACCCGAGGTTCCCCCTCCCTCCCGCTGCCGAAGCGGCCAACGGAGAGAGAGGAAACCGGAGGCGTCACCGGCGGCGTGCAAGGGCCTCGTCGCCCCCTGATCGCCTCGTGCGATCTGATCCTACTTTTCCTGGTGGCTGGCGCCAGCTTTTTCCACGGACGTGTTGGCCTGTTACTCACTTTCTCTTCAGAGAACACACGCCATGACGTGCACGTTTATATCAAAATGTAAGGAGAATGTACAATGACGAGTATAAAAACGGAGCATGGACTATGAAGAGAGGATACAGCTGCCTCCTGTGTTGGTCTGTTGTTTTACACGTCGAGAGAAACAACAAATGTGTTGGTCAAATATAACTAGCGTTCTCCTTTTCTTTAAACAACAAAACTAGCCTTCTCCCACACGTTGAAAAAATAATCCCGCCACATCGGGCGACTAGCAGGAAGGCTCCCCACTCCCCCAGAAGCACGAGGGCCCATTACGGGCTTCCATTGTTTTGGGCCACACCAAGAGACCACGCCTACTCGAGGCCCACCGCACGTCCCGATGGCGCTTCCGGCTGGACAAACAATGCGGGGGGCAGAAGGCGCGTTAGTTTAGTCCCACATCGGCTAGGCAAGGAGAGAAGTACCAGTTTATAAGCCGCGCGCTGCTTACATAGTTGTCCCTTCGGGGACATCTGATAAAATTGGAACGATACAGAGAAGATTAGCATGGCCCCTGCGCAAGGATGACACGCACAAATCGAGAAATGGTCCAAATTTTTTGGGATTTCACGCGCCGGTCCCTGGACCCTTCTTCTGAGCCCCTCTTTTGTATATTGCTCTTTTACAAAGAGATCCTCCGCGCCGGCTTGATGGCTTCTGCTGAGCCCCTCGTGTGTACTGCTCTCTTAGAAAGAGGTCCTCCTAGTTTTCATTTTTGTTCGGTAAGGTCCCCGCTGCTTCCATCTCGGACTTGGGTGTTCTGTTCTTTGCTATTGCAGATACGCCCCCTCAAGAATTAACGTTTTGGACCTTGAATTTCCCTTTTTATTACGAAGGCACCCTTTTCCAGGGTCGCCACACACATGTATTTTGTTTATTTCTGGTTTATTATATGCCATCACCTGGCACTAGAAAGAGATCACTGACGAACCCATCCAAGACCTGTGAGAGAAGCACACTCGGAGCATGAAAGATTCGGCATTTCATCAGTTATCGCGTGGTCGACGCCCAGCCATTTGCTAGCCCTAACCACCCACAGATGGACTAATCCAGCATAGCCGCTTCTCCAAACCTCTCCATCTTGTACACAGTATAACTAAGCAAGGGATGCAGTGCACACCGGTGGCATACTAATTCAGTAAGTACAGCACCAGCTTAGCTAGTCTACCGAGTACCGAGTAGACTAACCATACTGGGTCAGTAAGTTTATTGAAATTTAGTTAAAAATACCTTACTAATTGAACAAGAGGCAAAACGAATGTAGTCTGAATTGTTTTCCTGAAACTATGATTTAAAACGGGAACCAGTGGGGAGGAATCCATGGTCTATATAGTAAGATAGATCCCATACGGGTGGGATGCCACAAATTCAATTCGCTCCCACAGGGCCCAGTTCTCGACAATGCTAAGGAGACAACAGAAATCATACCAAAAGGATAAAAGAACCTAAAGTAACTAATAAAATCAAGGCAACCTAATAACTTGTAGGAGACAGATTAACTAATGGAAAGAAGGCTAAAAATACACTGGTCTACTATTACGTTAACACGTATGCATTACGCTTTGGGGCTATGCACAGAAGCTGGGCTGGAATGTGGTATGCCAACAATAGCTAAAGCCAGGGAACAAGACCAGCAAGATGGATATATATATGCCCAGGAACGAGACGAGGCTAACAAAGCCAGAAACAATGGTGTCAGCTTTCGGGTCCTTTCAGTTGAAGAACGCCTTTGACATGTCCGCTGAAGAGATCCAAGCTGGTACACTACTACACCAACCAACAGTTTAAACACACACACAAGTCAAGAGTCGGACCAACATGAACGAACTGCAGGGTCAAGGGTAATCAACAGTGTTCGACTGAAACGAAAAGCGAGTCTATGATGAGCTAGAGAGCTAGGCCATATCTGCAGGCTGCAGCAGGCATCGACAATGACGATTTGGTGCTGGCGCTGGTTCCATTCCGAGTCCTGCCGCCCTGCTGGTGCTGGTTTGTCGCAGTTACGCCCTCGCCCTCTTGTTGCTGCAGTCTGGGCACTTGTAGTGCTTGATATGCTCGGCTCGAGCAGGCGTGATCTTGACGCATTTCCCATGATACCACCGCTCGCAGTTGTCGCAGCAGATCCAGAACTCGTCCTTGCCGTCGTTTGTTCCACAGGTACCACACAAGGTGTTGTCGCGCTCTTCCTCCTCTTCTTCTCCATAGTCCTCGCCGCTCTCATCTTCATCCTTTGGGGGCGCTGCTATCTTTGGGGCCTTTGATTGGGACTCAGGCTTTGAATACTATAAAACAGAGGATAAGTTATTGGTGACATCTTATACTGCAAGGCGGCATAAATAGTATCTTCACTTACAGTTTTCATGCTTGGCTTATTATTGCTCTTGTGCGTACTGTTGGGGGCCTTCTCCTTGATCTGCTTCTTTGCAGCCCCAGTCACGACTTCAAATATTGTAGGCAGGTTATTTATCATGTTGAAGAGTCGCCTCCTGTGTGAGATAAAACACAGCACAGGTTGTCAAACACACATGGCAGCAGAAAACTGGTTTTTACTCAACTGACCGTATTTCAGTATGACCATGGAACATTATGCCAAAGGTAAATTGCAGCAAAGCTTCATGTATCTCTGATTAAGAACTCAATTTAAACTCCATGAATCGCACAAAAATACCACGCACTAGCTCTTGTAACCTCCTAACATCAACCCCAAAAAAATGATTGCTATCCCATGCAAAAATAGATGAACAAGATATCGGGTGGAACAGCAGCTGAGCTTTGAGATGAGAGGCCAAATGAAAATTCATACTATCGAAATGCTAAATCAAACTACCACAAGTTGTAGCGTCTGTAGTAAGAAAAACACCCACAAACTAGCTCTTGTAACCTCCTAACATCCACCCATAAAAAATGATTGCTATCCCATGCAAAAACAGGTGAACAAGTTATCAGGTGGAACAATGGCTGAGCTTTGAGATGAGAGGCCAAATGAAAATTCAAACTATCGAAATGCTAAATCAAACTACCACAAGTCGTAGCGTCTGTAGTAAGAAAAATAAACCCGGTCAAGTTTAGACTGTTGCACATTGGACAGGTGAACTGCATAGGTAAATAATGGGAAAATTTGCTCAATTGTCAATTGGTCCTATCGAAAGTAGGACGCACTGTGGATTCAAGCCATCACACACGGTTTCATAAAATCTGTACAATTTGGCTTCTTTCGATGGTAGGGAAGACATCAAATGGCAATTCATGGACATCAGAAAAAGCAGGGTCTCTAAGTAATTCTGTGACAAATTGGCCTACATATTAGCTGTTAACTAGTTATTTCTTCTGGGCTGTGGGGCCAAGACCTGTGCTGGCCTCACATAGCTTTGCCCATGAGGTGGAACACACCAAAATCAGTCAGAAGCCGAGTATTAGTTAGAAAATTTATCCTAGTGGCATCAAAATTTGCTCCAACTTTGGCTGCTGAAATGCAGTTCAATCAGCCTTGGATAGTTGGATTTGATTACCACCTTTGCCTTTTGACACAGAACTCTTGAACTTCAACAAATAATGAAGATTCCCAAATTTGCACCCGGCTAATTTTATCATATGCTAAGCCATCGCAAACCACAAAGGAGAAGAACAATGAACACACTCATGAATGAGGGCCCTCGACTACTCTAGCAGTCATATTCACCACAGTACATTACGCCTTGAAGCCGGCTTGGGACTTATCCAGGGCTCCAGACCTTAGATGCATTCTTTCATACCCTCTAAAATTTGCAGTTATGCTTGGCATACATCTGAAGCTTCCCCATAATATCTGCAGCCGCCCAGCCATTAAGTGCACGTATTATCCATATTATGCAATAATTTCTGGTGTTAATCTGATAACTTCCCTAGTATCTCGAAGCAAAATTAAGAGGCTTTTCTATAGATGTCGTGATGTTAAAGGTCCAGTTGCACTAAACACTCATCAACTATGCAGGATAAGCTGACCAAGGAGTCAACTTCATGATCCAAATTTTCTTGAGATATTTGATTTGATTGTAGCATTTTCTGCTTGCATCTCAAATCTTATTTGCTAACAACATGTGTTTGTTCTGAACCTTGGGTTAAGATTCTCTGTGTTTATCTACATCTTCTTACTGTAGTTTTCCATTTTTCGAACTCAACATTTTTCCAACTATAAATTTCCGAAGTTCCAAAATCATGTTAACAAATGTATCCAGCTACTATATCATCAAGTCATTCTGAGCATTTACAACTGATGCTACACATCCATGAAATAACTGTAGCACCTAGTCTTAACTACATGATTCAATTTGGAATTATATGATTATATCACTCATCTTGAATACTCCCTCCTTTCCGGTTTATAGGGCTTAATTCGAAAATCTCTTCAACCAAGGTAGATGATGAATGGTGGAACTAATTTCGTAGTTTGCAAAAGTACTTACTTAGTACTCTCGTTTTTCTTAAAAAATTATGTATACCGATGCATTAATTACACCGCATGCATGCATGACCACTGAATGACCAAGAACTTCTACATGCATTGATGAGTTTTTTCTTCATCCTTGCATGCAGTGATTTAATACACCTTGAAATCTGAACATATGATGGTAAAGTAGAATTGAGACTTATAAAACGGGAAAACAATTTTTTTGAGATGAGCCCTGTAAACCGGAAAGGAGGGATACTTAACTAGAAAATCCTAGCTTCAATATGAAATTTCTTTTTCGCTCACTTATCAATTGCCATCTAAAGATAGGATCAAACAACCATAATTCTTCATGAAGATGGTAAGAAAAGTTCAAACTCTATCAAGTTGTTTTCACTATCAAAGAAAAACCAGTCCAAGATTCATCAGGATGTTCAAGTTCAACAATTTTGAGATGGCTGTCAATTAGCATGTCAGTCTAATTATTACATAATATTGCACAACCTGGAACAAAGTTAACCCACCTAAAAAATATAAGTTATCGCACTAAAGAAGGTTTCGAGCAACTAGGATGAGTCAGAAGGCTCCAAGTTTTTTTAATGCATCAAGCTACAGGCCCAGGAAAAGATGCTTCAGGGTGATAATATAGAACACTTGGACTAACTGGATAAATACTTGCGCCGAGGACTAATTTCATTTGATCTAGTCTAACCAGGGTCAGTCTGCCCTCTGTATACAATTTGTGCTATAATTCAGTGACTTTAACTTCATTTTGTTTTGAACTTCACCAGCAGGTAGCAATTTGCATGCCAGTAGTTCTCAAGTCATTTAAAAAGTGTTACTAATTGCTAAGCCACAAATAGAAACCATACAGATGAAATAAACTTTTGCCAAACTTGTTTCCTCTAGAATCTAGATTGTCACAGAAACATTTTTGCCAAACTTGTTTCCTCTAAATTTTAGTGGTGAATGTGAATTAGAACGTGCAATACATCTCCTGGGACTGAATGTGAATGCAACTTCTAGTGTTTTGCTCATGCTGACGCGTATATGAAGCAAGGGTTGCGAGGATACAATAACTGCCTTGCATGACTACTTACTCCGTTTATAATGTAAAGGACAAAAGAAAATATAGTAAACTACTTTCTCCGTTTATAATGTATGATATTCTAGAAATGGCAGTCTCCAGGGTGCGTGTATGTTGACATTTTTAATACTTGTTCTTCAGGCTATTTGAAAACAGAACTACTGGTAATAACCTCCAAACGATGGGATAAAATTGTAGTCCTACACAAGAAAACTTAAGGATGACCATAAGTCAGACTACATGCTATCTTGTAAAGTGTTCCAGTGTTCCCAAATGTAGTGCAATGTTAATAATTCTGAAGGACACATTCTGTTTGGGACCATTATGAGCATCTGGGCATGCAATCAATTCCTTTTTCAGACTTGAAAAACGAGCACATGGAAGAAACGATTAAACCAAGATCTCCAATCAAAAAAAATTGTGGAGAGAGATATTCAAAAGAGGGCGTCTAAACAAAGTAAGAAGAAAATTTAGTAAAGAAGAACCACAATAGCTTAAGATGACAATCAAAAGCTAGCAATGAGGAATTTGTTT